CAAGTGAAAGGAGTAAAAGACTTATAACAGCTTGATGATTAGCTTTGAGGTTTTTAAGATTGATAATGAAATCATCAAGCACATGAGAGTATTACAAGTAATCTTTATTACAAAGTTCACTCTCAAAAACTTTGCAAAATCTCTCTACAACAAAATGACTCTCTCACAAAAATGTATTTTACTATAAGAATGATCTCTCAAGATAAAAAAATACTCAAAAGAGCTTAGGAGAGAGTGCTCAAAAAGGTGTGCAAGTGTATATCAATGTTCTTGCCAAGCTTGCCTTGCTTGCCTTAAATAAGCCTGGGCAAGGCTTCGTCGCGGTTGTGGACCAAATGGTCGTAGTCGCGGTCTTAGATGGTCTCTCTTTGCGGATGCAGACTCATGCCTCACTCAAGCTTATGTTGAGAAGAACGTATATAGACTGGGGCTCTTGGAGGTTAGGTTGCTATGCTATGCAAGCCTCGTAGGGAGTCGAGTGCTTCTGGGAGCTAATTTGGTTGTGCCTATGTGCGGTCTGGCCGTGAGAAGCAATGGCCTTTACTGCAGGCGCAATGGTGTGAACGAGACCAACTGATTTTACAGACTTCTTGCTACTACTTTCCGCCAAAATTTTCTCCATACGATGTCACATTTTCTCTCAGCATAAACCCACTTTTTTAGGCTGAAAAACTCAACAATCTTCCACAATATTTGTCAACAACTTATCTACATTATCTCCAAAGATTTTAGAGTTGACTAACCAAATCAAAAATAAAACTCTAGCACTTTTGTAGCACATGCCTATTGTCACGCCCCAAAATTCGAACAATTAAATATTATATTAGGACTAACCCCAATCAATATTCCATCATCCAAATCCTAGGGGTGAAACAAAAAAAACTAAACGCAAACCAAACCAAACCATCCACCATAAATTCATAACTAACCAATACCTCAACATCAAGGTAACAATAAATAGTCAAAACAACTTAAATAAAGCACGGTAACAAACCATGCCAAATTATTCCAATACTAAAGTCATTAAAAAAAATAATAAATACATAAACTAATATCAACCTTAAGCTCAAGAAAACAAAAGAGGTCCAAAGGACAAGTCCAACACTATAGTAATTCCACGTCACCACCGTAGCCCCAACTAATCCTGTAAAGGAAGCTCGGCTGCGCTCAAACAGAACGCACCCGAGTTGCCAAGAGACAAAACGGGTCAGCATACAGATATACTAGTATGAGTACAAGATTTAATACCCACGTGTCCACTAGACCCAAACAAAAATATATTTAATTCTTGTTACGGGACCGTACCAAGACGAATGGATAGTTTTCCGAGATACGGTGGCATTTAGTTTCTTTCCCGTACACAACTAAATATAAGTTGAGCATAAAATAAATAAAATAAACATAAAAATACGGTGGGTCATCCCTGCATAAAAAGTTAGTAAGACCCACCATCCTGCAAAAAAAATAAAGTTAGGTCTCGTTTGGGAACCCTCCCTTTTAGCCAAAAAGTCAGAAAATTACTAAATTAGCCAAAAAGCCAACAACCCATACCAAAAAGTCAAAGATTCTCTTTCTCTCTACTTTTTGCACATCTTTTCGTAAAAAGTCAAAAAGTCATTCCAAACATACTATTTTTTAACTCATATTTTAGCCAAATAGCCAAAAATTTACTAAATTAGCATGTTCCCAATCGAGGCCTTAGTATAATTTAATCATAAGTAACTTGCTGAAGAAATATAAAAATGTACCGTTTCATGCTTAAATAATTCGAATGGACCAAAACTCAAAGAACGAAAGTTGTACAAAATCAAATTTCCTAAAATACAACGCGGACGAATTTAACAGAAACTGAACAGGTTGAGAGAAAAATTTAATAGAAAAACCTAGACGGAATTCAATCGAAAAATCTGAAGCTGAAAACGAACAAAAATTGCCCTAAGATGATTTTTTCCGAAAAGGTTCAAAACACGAAAAGTGTGCAGAATAATGTTTTACTTCAGTTTACATGAAACCAATAAAAATGAGCTCGTTTTGTGGGTTAAATCAGCCTCTAAAATCTGCATTGCTAAAATGAATCAAAACTACAATAACTAAGATCATCCGATTATAAGTTCTAATCGATCTTTTTAATAACAAGCTAAAACACAAAAGTTATCTAGAATCACGTATACATGTCTCTGCTCAAATTTCATAATTTATCGAGGTCGTTTACTATTTTTCAACCTGTACAAATCAATACAATACACACTATACCAATTATCTCATAATTAAATTCTCTGTACCTTAACTCCACCACATCGGCCTTCACTCCCGGCCTACACATATATCTCATGTGCCTCTCGTATACCTAACACCGCTCCGAAGCCAAACTTACATGGGGATATCGTCCCGAGTTTGACCCACACTCCCCGGATGGTTAGCATATACGTACGCGCGTAAATCAAAGCACTCGTCTACTCATGAGAACGAGGCAACAATATATATTTACATAGCATATCACTCATGAGAATAAACATAATAATGCCAAGCCTAAAGCATTTAAATAAATCTCATAATTCTCACTTTTTTTTATACACTCTTTTTCACTAACACTCAAAAAAACAACAGTCCATGGAGTCATGGTGGAGTGTAAGGAATTTATCTATAGGTTTCTAATTTATTTTAATTTCATATATTCATGAGGGTGCTTACAACCATAAAATAAATCCACATAAGAATTCTAATCCTGGCATACACAACTAATCAAAATAATTAAAATCAATCAATCATCTAAAAACCCTAAACCTTACATACACAACTAATCAAAATAATTAACCTTAGAGTTGAACCTTTAATTTTGGCTCACCTTCTTCTCTCTGTCTCTCTTAATTAGGATGACTATAAAACTTAAAGTGATGGAAAAATACTCATGATATGAAAGGGGAGTCACCCATCCTTATATAGAGGAGAGAAGAGGGCCAGATAAACTCTATCAGAAGAATTCCTAATCCATCAAGGTTTCCTTCTTATCTTAGAAGAGTGATTATATTAAAATTCTAATTACTGAACTTGATCTCAAATATTGGCTTTATCTATTTGTGGAGTCAAAATAAATTAAAAACATGTAGAAAATCTGTAGACTATTGGGCCACACTAGAAAAATAAATCCAACAATTAAAATATATATATATAATCACACTTATTTAAAAAGTGTGATTAAAAAGTAGTAATGTATATATAATCACACTTTAATTAGAATGTGTGATTAAAAAATATATAAATAATCACACTTTAATTAGAATGTGTGATTAAAATATATGTATATCTATATAATAAGGGAGAGTTGTTTTTGAATTCTGATGGGACTGTTGTCCCTCTGTCAAAATATGAACCGCAGGATTGATTCAATCCAACAGCTACAAAATGTCTAAGAGACGTTATATTTCAATGGTGGATTTACAATGGTGAATCAATCCTACGGTGGTTCTTCTACGATGGTTCTTCAAGAGCAGACAAATCCATCTCTCTCTCTCTCTCTCTCTCTCTCTCTCATTTAAGAGCAGATCGGCTAGATCGGTGCTAGCCTTGCTAGATTGGTGGGTTCGGCGACATCGCAGCAACAAATCGGTGAGGTTCTCCGAAATCTTGACTATATTTTTTTTTTTCAAGGTTTTCTTTGTGCGTAGGGTCATTACACACCTGACCTGATGGTCCAGGAGTTTCTGAAATAAGCCTAGATCGGTGGGTCCAGAAGTTTATTTGATGAGAGCCCCAATCCTTGAAGAAGATTACAGAAAGAAGGGGACCCAAATCCAGTCTTGGATTCAAGTAGATATTATTACTCTTTGGCATTGCACCACTTCTACATGTTCTGTTTTCCATAAAACAGAGCTTCATTGACTTTGATGCCATAGAATATTAGTGTTACTGTATATCAATCAGTGAAAATTTGCTCTGTTTTTATTTATATATATGTAGACTATATTGTGAATAAGCCTAGGACCCAGGGTATTGTGAATTTGTGTATTGTGAATTTGTGAGTCAATATACCAGAAAATGCAGTTTATGTATTCTCAAATATACCAGAAATTTTTTATATTTGTCGGAGATGGACGGAGGGAAAAATTTAAAGGGAAGAAATATACCCGGTTAATTTTTGACTCACATATATTGTGGGTCAATATACCAGAAATTTTCAGTTTATGTATTCTCAAAAAAATTTATGGCATCAAAATTTCTTTCGTTGGGTGTCTAATTTTTTATGTGATTTGTTTCGCATTCGGGTTTGATTGTGTGATTTATATGATTTATGTGATTTATATTATGTGATTTTTGTGTGATTTATATTATGTGAACCTATTATGTGATTTATGGTAAAATTTTATGTGAACCTATATTATGTGAACCTATTATGTGATTTCTGATTTACAAAATGGGTTCAGATTATCAAGTAAATTAAATAAGGAATGTTGAAAAAAAATTTGATTGTGGAGTGAATTATTTTGTTCTTCCAAATTTTATACTGTTGGGTTCAGTGAATTATTCTCATTCAATGTTTGTTATTTCTCGGCTGATTTGATTTCCGTCGTGTGAATGGTCATGAGTTGATTTAGAAATCAAATGGGCTTTGCTTTTTTTTTCACAATTAATTAATAAACATGGCAAATGATACCAAATGGGTTCAGAATTCCTAGTAAATTAAAGAAGGTATGTTGAAAAAATATGTGATTTTGCGGAGTGAAAAATATGTGATTTTAGGTAACAGACTTTGATGGACGGACTGACTTCATGCATCTAAGAGGATTACAAATGCGCTCTTTGGGTTGTGTGTTAAAAAGATAATCTCTCTCTCTCTCTCCGTCTCTCTCTCTCTCTCATATACACAAGCGCTCCACAAAGCTCAAAATGATATGAGACTGGAATGTTGCTTCTGAAAATCTTATTTCTTAGGGAAATTATTGTGCTTGCTAACTTGATCAATATTGTCAAATATCTACGTAAGCTACATGATTGTACGAAGCATAATTTCAGCAGAGTGTTTAAATTTGATCTAAATAAAATACGACATTAACTATTGTTGGCTCTGATCGCATTATGAAAACCAGGTTGAACTTGCAGAGAAGCTTCCTCATATACAGTCACTTTGTATTCACGAGATGGTCACTCGAGTTTTCAAGCATGTCCTTAAAGCCTCTATTGCTTCTATTAATAATGTGGCAGACTTATCCACAGCAGTAGCTTCATGCTTGAATTTCTTGCTTGGGGGCTACACAATAGAAGATATTGAACATAACTTGAGTGGTGATCACATGCTCAAATTGCAGTGGTTACAAACTTTTCTAGCTAAAAGAATAATGTGGCAAACTTATCCACAGCAGTAGCTTCATGCTTGAATTTCTTGCTTGGGGGCTACACAATAGAAGATAGTGAACATAACTTGAGTGGTGATCACATGCTCAAATTGCAGTGGTTACGAACTTTTCTAGCTAAAAGATATGGCTGGACTCTAAAAGATGAGTTTCAACAATTGAGGAAATTAACAATTCTCCGAGGACTTTGCCACAAGGTACTATCTCCTTTTATTGCCTTCGGTCATGGTTTCATTAGAATGAGATTCTAATGTTTCTTTTTTTCATTTGTTTTTTTTTTATTTTTTTTTATAAATATCCAGGTTGGATTGGAGTTGCTTCCGAAAGACTATGATATGGAAAGCCCAAGCCCTTTCAAGAAATCTGATATTATTGGCATTGTTCCTGTGTGTAAAGTAAGGGTCTCTCTCTCTCTCTCTCTCTCTCCCTCTCACTTGCACACATCCACACAAATTGCATTTGATTTGAAAGTTTTACAATCTAAATTTAGTGTGACGTGCTTTGCAATAACCAAGATGTTTGAACCATATGCTACACAGCATGTAGGATGCTCTTCTGCAGATGGGCGGACCCTATTGGAGTCATCAAAGATGGCACTCGATAAAGGATAGCTAGAAGATTCTGTCAACTATGGAACGAAGGTACCAAAGCCATCCTGTGTAGTAAGCTGTTTAATTCCATTCTTAACGGGTACAAAAATCAATCACAATTTTTTGTATTACTTGATTCTGAAGGCATTGGCAAAGATGATAGCTATCTGTGGTCCCTATCATCGTACGACTGCGAGTGCGTACAGTCTGTTAGCTGTTGTGCTTTACCACACTGGGGACTTTAATCAGGTAGATATATATAATATTCTTTTGTTAATAATCAGGTAGTCTGTTAACTGATTTGTAACTTTGATTTTGTGGATAGAATATATTGTTTCTGTCCATACCTCATCATTTTTTTCCTTCTGTATTTTGATTTCGGTTTCACAATTTGAAACTACAGCATCTGTTTGAGTCTCATCTCTATGTTCATTTCATCTCATCTCAACTGTCTCTCTCAATTACAATTTGTTATTTTCATTTTAAAATTTTCAATACTTATGTTTCTTATGCCTGTAGATTTCAATACAATTTGTTTCTCATTTATATTATGTGTGTTTTCATGCATACATCATGTTCGGTAAAATGGCTCAATTAAAATAGTTTATATAATTCTAAACTTATAAACACCATGCTAGCTGCTTATATTAAAATAGTTTACATAGTTTATTAAAATAGTTTATACACCATGCTAGCTGCTTATATAATTCTACTTGAGAACATATAATCTTATGAAAATCCATCAAAACATTTTTTTTAAATTTTTCTTTTTCGGCTTTCTTTGTTTTATATGTCTCTTTGTATGCATTCACTATGTTCTATAAAATGCCTCACATAGGTCTCTAAAATATTTTTCTAAAATGGGTCTCCAAAATGCCTCGAAATTTTTATTTGGGTTTTCGTTAGGTGTCTAATTTTTTATGTGATTTGTTTCTCATTCAGGTTTGATTGTGTTTCTCATTTATATTGCCTCAATTAAAATATGTCTCTTCACCCCTCTATATTTTGTGTGTGTTTTCATGCATACACCATGTTCGGTAAAATGACTCAATTAAAATAGTTTATGTAATTCTAAACTTATGAACACCATTCTAGCTGTTTATATAATTCTACTTGCGAACATATAATCTTTTGAAAATCCATCAAAACATTTTTTTTTCTTTTTCGGCTTTTTTTGTTTTATGTGTGTCTCTTTGTATGCATTCATTATGTTCTGCAAAATGCCTCACATAGGTCTTTGAAATATTTTTCTAAAATGGGTCTCCAAAATGCCTCAAAATTTTTATTTGGGTTTTCGTTGGGTGTCTAATTTTTTATGTGATTTGTTTCTCATTCGGGTTTGATTGTGTTTCTCATTTATATTATGTGATTTGTTTCTCATTTATATTGCCTCAATTAAAATATGTCTCTTCACCCCTCTATATTTTGTGTGTCTTCATGCATACGCCATGTTCGGTAAAATGGCTCAATTAAAATAGTTTATATAATTCTAAACTTATGAACACCATGCTAGCTGCTTATATTAAAATAGTTTATATAGTTTATTAAAATAGTTTATACACCATGCAATCTGTTTATAATCTTATGAGTTGGATGTTATTTTTAATAGAGGTATATTTTTATAGGTTTAGCAAAAATAGAGGTATATTCAAATTGGTGACACAAATAGTGGGAGTTGGATGTTATTTTTAATAATAAACAGTAGGCAAATTTTGGATTGGAGCTTGCTTACTTATATTTTCTAATCTTTGGAATGACGTAGGCTTGAGATTGAAACTTTCTAATCTTATATTTACTTATTAAGATCATTTGAAGCTTTCATTTCCCTGATATTAAAAATTTAAAACTTCCACGGCCTCTTTATCTCTCTCTGATGCTTTTAATTTTATTTTTCAAGATGTGGGCCCCCAAAGTCCATCAAGGATCAAGGTTAGGAGCTGCAAGTTTTCTCTATTCCAATTACTCTTTTCCATTAAGTCTTTCCTTTATTCCTATTCTTAGTACTGTTAAATTAAGTTCCATTTGGATACTCTCTCTCTCTCTCTCTCATGCTTTTGTGTTTTTGTGGGTGCACAATTTCATCAATATTTTAGCAATACCTTCATCAATTGATGAACGGTTCTCTTTTTCCCTTAAAATGAGCTGTTTCTTCACTACATAGCCGTGCTGTGTCAATCTCTTAAGCAATTTCGGTGTTCAAACAGTTCACAATATCAATATCAATATTGTGGCCTAATTTTTCCTTTTTTTTTTAATCCAAATTTTATTTTTTGTTGTGACAGTGCGTTGGCTGCTTCCCATGAGCAAACCAAATGGATCCAAAAGGGTTGGTTCATATTTTACTTATGGGAGGATTTGAATAGTTGGAGCTATTTGAATATATATATATATATATTTTTTTTTTTTTTTTTTTTGCAGCTGCTGTCCATAGCATTTCAATGCACCATGTTGACCCATTAAAGGTATCACAATTCTTTAATAGGATGCTTGGCTTCCATTGGGAATAAAATTGTTCCATCTGTTTTTAGTTTACGAATTTTTTTAAATTTAATATTGTCATTTCTAAGTTATTGAAAATGATTTATGATAAAAACATATATACTCATTTCTTATTGCAAAACATTTGTTGTGTCATATGGTTGCTTGGTCTAATTATTAGTTCCCTATTATTTGTCATGTGTCATTTTAGCTACCATTTAGCAAGTTTGTTTATGTAGTGTTGATTGAATTTTTTTTTCTTCAATTTCTTTATGGATAACTGAAAGAGGAGTGCAGAGATGTTGGGCATAATTGTTTGTGTTTCTTTATAGTTTTTACTTCATTTATATGAATATGACATGTGTTGAAATCTCTGTTATTAGAATCATACAATTTGCGATTTGATTCAGTGAGTAATCAATACGAACAGGTTGTATGAATCGCAAATTGCCATGAATCGTAGGTGAATCGGTGAACGAAATCGGTAAATCGTGAAGTGAGTCAATTCGATTCGCTAAACTCGATGTTTGACTTTCCTTTTTAGTTTTTTATTGTTGGAAAAGGGTTCACACAACCCTTTTAAGGTCTTTAAGATTACTATATGCCATCTTTTGACTTTCTCCCTCCCTTTTTTGTTAGTTTTTCATATCTCTTTATCCCCTTAACATTATATCCATAAGTCAGTGGAGCTTTGTTAGTTTTATTTATAGATTTATTTATTTTTGCTGTTGTTGTTGTTGATGAAATATATATAAAATTAAGATGAATATTCCTTTCGAATTCTGCAAGCCCTTTAGCTCCTTCATCTGTGTTGGGCACACCCACCTTTTATTGTTGTAGTTTTCTGTCTTTTTTATTTTTTTATTTTATCAAGGAATTAGTTTTAGTATGAAAGATCTTTTCTCCTGACATCAATGCACAATTTTTTGTTGAGTTGGAGTGTTGTAGAGAAATTATCAATTCATATAAGGCTGATGTTTTTATTCTTAATACTTTGTACATGTGACGGAGGCATCAGAATCTGGTGAGGAGAATAGTTCTAAAGGCTCCATCAATAGAGGTAATCAAGATTCCATCCATTTTTTTGCTTCTATTTTTTATTTTTTGTACATTCATGATGTTGTAAGTTGATGATTTAATCTGTTACTCGATTTCCATAGTTCAAAGACCAACTTTCTCATGTCACTTGGAATTAATTACAACCTATTTCCAGTTATTTTAATTAAATTTATTGTTATTCATTCCATTCTAAGGATTTCAGTATAGTTTGCAATAATTGAAGTTCAAAATAATTAGTTTTACCACTATATAATTTCTGCTACTACAATGTTCACCAAATGCTTGATAAACTGTTTCTCTATTTGATGTGTTTATTAATTCACAGGGAATGGAAGGTGAGGGAGAGATTAATCGAATGATCAAATTTTTGGTTGAGGAAAAAGTTCCCCTTTGCTAAACTTTTGAACTGGGGTGAGGAAAAAGTTTTTCTTTGCTTGACTGGGTTGAGTTTACAAATTTATTTATTTTTTGGATAATGTTCTCTTTGCTAATTATTTTTATTATTATTTATTATTTTTGGGAAAGACCAAAAAACTAAGCAGTTTTTTTATTTTTTTGTTTGTACTACTTCTAAATAGGTTGATTGCTCTCAATTGGATCTCAGTTGTGAGTTTATGAAATCTTTCTTTTGAGATTGTGGTTTGAGGATTTTTGAAATGATGCTACTTGCATTGTGGTGCCAAAGATATCCATGAAGGTTATCAAAGAAAGAGCATTTTTCTTGGTCAGTAAATCTCTCTCTTTTTCCCTCTATATGGATGTGTCTCTGAAACATTTTTTTTGATATATAGTAGTTTCTCGTGTGAACCCCACATGTGTTTGGGTGCATAAAATATTTGCTATATAGATTAAAAAACAGAGAGGGTGTGTGGGTGTGGGATGAGGGAAAGTAGAGATAGAGGGAGGCAAAAAGTGCAGATAAATGAATAAAATGGTGTGAGACAAATTGTATCTTGAAAAGTTATCTACCTATGTGCTGAATTCCATGTCTCTAAAAGGTTGACATTCTCAATTTTAGAAATTAAATATATTTGCTGAATCATTAGTGCTTGATGATGGAGGGAGGCATTTATAAATATTAGTGCTTGATAATGTGTTTAAGAGCTAAAATCGAATAATGTGTTTGGAACTTTCAATTAGTGCTTGATGATTTTTGCTTTTGCAACTATTATAGATAGTGCTTGATGTTTTCAGATTGGTGTAATCCATAGACATATATGCTTGATTGGAGGGTTAGGTGATTGCCCAAAGAGAGGTGGTTTTGTTGATTAAGGTTTAGTTTCTTCTTTTTTCTTTTTTTCTTTTTTTGTTGATTTTTACTTTCTATTTTTCTCTTCCTTAGTAATTAGCAAGAGAGAAGTGTAATATGAAGAGTCTGAGACTTAAGCTTAAGCTTAGTAAAGTGAAATGAGTGTTGTAACTAACTAATACTACTGAGACTTGAGTGTAATATGTTCATGAGTTTGCTAATCATACATTTTATTTAACTAATTGATACATTTTTCTTGCTACATTTTGGGCTTTGATATACTTTAATTTTGCACAATGGGGGTGAGTAGCAATGCACGATTTTCCTTTCCATGCCTTTTCTTTTTAAACATTACCTATCAATAGTTGACATGAGAGATGGTTTGTTAATATTGCAATCACTAAAATTATCTTCTTTTTAAATTTTAGCCGAAGTTCAAATGAGACCAACTCTCCTCAATTAGAACAAGAAAGATTGATAGCTTAGATAAGTATAACGGTGATGGTATAAGAAAGGAACAATTTTTCTCTGAAATTATTTTGTGAATAAATTTTTCACGTACTACATAAAAGATTGGATAGAAGAAGATTAATCTAACGTTATTTTCACCGTGCCTTTAGGCACGAGCATACACTAGTATATATATAACACCTCTTTTTTTTATATATAACAAATATAAATATATAAATATTTGGATTAATTAAATAACACATTAAATTAATTAAATATCACATTAAATTCTCATGTGACTACACAATTAATAAAGTCAAAAATAAAATAAGATAATAATAATCATAATAATAATAAATAATGACTTAAGAAAACTAGGGTCGCTACACCTATGCCAACAAAACAAAGCCTTTTAGTTACACATGCCAAACCACCTTCATGCCAACAAATCTACAAATTTAAAATGCATAATCCCAAAACGATATTGCACATGCAAAAATAACGAAAGAAACAATTTCAAGAAAGATCATGATATATCTCTTGAGGCGTACTTTGAAAAATTGTTCTACAAATCTCAAATTCATTATGTCAATAATCAATTGAGCACAAAGTATTTGAACCACCGAAATTGTCTACAACTAGATTTTGAAACTTTAAAACTCCCAGCCATTAAAAATAATTTGAAAGATCAAGAAGATAATGAAACAAAAGGACAATACAAAAAACAAACACAACCAACTAAGAAATATAAATCAAATGAAATTGCTTTGTCATGGAATTTGCCAAAATAAATGTTGATGCAACACAAGTTTAGGTTAAAAATCCTAACAATCTACCCCTTTGGCAATTCCGTGACAAAACCCAAAATCTTGCACAAAAACTTATTAGACCAATTTCATACGAGAAAAGCAAATCATTAATCACAACAATAAAAACATTGCATAAAAAAACAATCCAAGTTCTTAAAAACTCCCCCTAAACAATGCTCTCCTTTTTTGTCCGGAAATGATAAAGGAAAAGTACACAAAAGAATAGCCAACCAAGCCTACATCAATCCACGAAAACCAAAGTAACAAACTCCTAAAACTACGTAGCAAGAAAAGTGGTGGACTGATCAATGTGGTCAAATCGGGGAATCAAATTGATCTAGCCGAGCATCCTGTTAATCCATCCGTCCACGCATTTCCTCCTGAAATTCTAATTAAGAAGCTTGCATTTGAAAAATATGTTATTGAATGGTTTGAAAAGTTGCAAGCTCCCCCTCAACACCTTTTTCAATTGGAGCACCATGTCATCCTCTTCTGCCATGTCCACCATGCTCAATTGGAGCTTGGCCAGCTCTCCCCCTCTCTTGAGCATTACTTAAACTAACAATTAGTTTGGAGATAGGGTTATCAATCTCAACTATATCATCCACATTGTCAAAGGGAACTTCTTGAGATGACAGAAATTTTGTGAAAAGTGATGCATATGGCAAGCCAAGAGATTTCTTTCCATTAAAAGCAGCTATCATGTGGCGATAAACAACCAAAGGGACATCAATAGACAAATTTTGGCTAATGGCATGAAAGAAGTACCCTTGATCTTGAGACAGATCGGAAAAATGTGAAGTAGGAGTGACATTGTGTGAGATAATAAGGTTCAAAATCGGATTGGGGGTAATGAGAGAACGATGAGGTATAGAAGCACCGAGAAACCAATTATAAGGAGCACCTAACAAAATAGACGCAATGACAATAAAATCTATAGGACCCGTCTCATCACGCCTATCTTGGAATAATCACACACAAGAGGTCTTTCTAAGTGTAGACGTCCCCGAACGCCCCGGGAGGGTTAGTCCCGTTCTGTTCATTTGGGGTCACTACAGCTCGGACTCTTAAATGTCACGGTTCCTAATCTGAACCAAAGAGTCCAAATCCGGCAAATCGTTTTGAGAAACTGATTTTTTGAAAAAGTAGTGCCAAATATGGACTGCTTTGCCAGATACAGAGTCGCCACCTAAATATTTTAAAATGGGGAAATTTAGGAAACCCTGACTCGGTGCCAAAAGGCCACAAACAAGTTTTCACCAAAGTTACCTCATGTGTGCATGTTTGGCATAGCATATAGGCCATGTTCGGGGCCTAATTCGGCATTTCGGACGGATTCATGCATTTCATGTGTTCATTTCGCCTCATTTCGGACTGTTTCCCCCATTTTTGTGCTGAATTTCATTAGCATCTTGATATCATTTTTGCCATATTAGCATCACATTCTGTTCATTGCCTCGGTTTGCGGCTCCGTGTGCGCATTTCGAGGCACTCCTTTTTATACGACGGCATCCTATGTGAGTTGTGGCCTGAGGCTCACTCAGTGTTGTATAAGCCCTATCATGTTTTTCATGTATTAATCACATTCTTGCTATCGCTCGGTTTGCGTGCCGTGTGCACGCATTTCGAGACAACCTCATTTTTATAGCATTCTTTGCCATCGCCTCGGTTTGCGTGCGCCGCGCGACGATTTTTGAGGCACCTCATTTTCATAGCATTCTCCATTCCTCAGTTTGCGCTGCCGTGTGCACGCATTGAGGCACCTTATTTTTCATAGCATTCTGCATCGCCTCGGTTTGCGTGCCCGTGTGACGCATTTCGAGGTACCTCATTTTCGTAGCATTCTGCCATTGCCTCAGTTTGCGTGCCGTGTGCACGTATTTCGAGGCACCTCATTTTCATAGCATTTCTACTATTGCCTCGATTTGCGTGCCCGTGTACACGCATTTCGAGGCTCTCATTTTCATTGCATTTTGTTCATTTTCTCGGTTTTGCGTGCTGGGTGCACGCACTTCGAGGCATCTCTTTTTCATAGCATCGTGTATGTTAGGATTATATCTTAGTTGCATTTCATGCATATCATGCATATTGCATCCGTGTTCGGAATAGGAGTTACCCCGGGCACCCGGGAAACGGTACATTTCGTACTCCGAGTGACGGAATGTGTCTCAATTCCCCAGTCACCGACACTCCGGATTATTCATGATGGAGTTAGGTTTTAGCTGTAGTTTCATGTGCATTCATCCTATATTGAGTTGTGCATTTCGACTCTCGGCCATCATGCCTCGGTATGGCGTGGAATTGGTGGCACGAGGTCGAGACCATGCATATATCTGTGCAAATACATTGCTATGCCCCTTTCCTGCTCTCTGTTGCAGCAAATCAGGAATCAGCACTTTTTGGGGCTTGGCACGCATTTCAAGAACAGGTGTAAACAGAGGCTAATTGGGGCAGTCCGATGGATTTCCGCGCAAGACAATTCGGACATACTAATTCCATCAGAAGCAAGGCGGTCCATGGCTTGCACGCCAGTTTCATTTACTTTCTTAGTTAATTCATTAATTAATTAGAATTTTGTAATATTTTGGACTGTAATATTCTTTTGTTCGGGACTGTAATATTTGGACTGTATTATTTATTCGGCCCTCTGTGCGAGGGATAACTGTAATAAGTGTGCGTGCAGTGTATTGTATGTTTCCAACCCCACGTCTTTCTCATTTTATTTATCCGCTTATGATGGTTAGATTAGGGCATGTTTCAATTAGCATACAGTATGACAGCATGTTTGCATTCATTCATCTGTATTGCATGCACGGGGCTCGACGCATCATACTAACTGCATTGTATTTTCAATTTCAAAGTTGAATACATGATAGTTGTAACATTCCATATGCCATCTTAGAATAGCCGAGCTTGCTATTAGTTGCATTTTGCATGTGTTGCATTAGGCATTTCTGTATACTTAGGATCATGCATAAATTTCTAATGTAGTTTCTATTTTGGCTTGGAGTACCGGTAAGCTTTATGCTTTAGCATCTTGCATGCGTGTGAGTGCTGCATGAATAGCATGCTTACCATGAGGCCTATGTGCTTATATATAAACTGCCTGAATGCTGTGGGTGAAGGTTGGTTATCTGAATTGGAATAATCATCACAATGTTTCAAGCCTACCTGCGGGTAGCAAACCATTTCAAAACAAGCATGAAATGTTTTTGTTCCAATTTGGGCGACCCGGTCTATACTGTTATGCTGTGAGCATCACATAGTAAACTAAGGCTAATAACCGGAATAAGAACATACAATGTTTCAAAAAATTGATATCATGGTTAGTAGAGGCCGGTCTATGACCGGGCGAGCGGGGTGCTCACGAAGTGACCTTCCCAATCGTACCCAAGTTCCGAGCGAGGC